ATATATATATATATATATATATATATATATATATATATGCTTGTATATGATATGCATGTACATACTTTGATGCATTGAATTACAGCACAATGTAAATTTTGAACGTGCTAGAATTGAAGAATGAATCTACAAATCTGAGAACTATCTGAATGATAAAATGAGGATTTGATCAATAAAGGAACAAAGATAGAGAAAAAAAACACCTTTCAAAGCATCTTCGAAGAACGTGAAATAACAGGCAAGGAAAAGCACCAAAGAGTCTCCAAACTCAGTCAACTAATGAGAACAGAATCTTGGGAGGCCTCATTAGAAACGTAATTGAAAAATTCCACTTGTTACTCCTGTACCACTGTGCTCCTTCTCCAGCCAGCTTGCTCTGAATGACAGACTGAAGTACTACTCATGTTCAGGCAATCTCGAGAAAGGGTGAAGATCTGAGTCTGGGACCAGAGGCCACAGGTGAATGAGTGTAGTAGTGTCAGACTTCCACAGAGTCAGAGGGGAAACAAGACAGGGAATTTGTATGCAATTTCTGCTTTTAATAAGAGCCCTGGCAGACTCCTAGTGTCCGCTCTGGAAAAGCAAGATGGTAACCTTGGTGACATGACTCCCAGAACAGAGGACCTCACAATCCAAAGACCAGTTACAAGACCTGCCTCATCCATAGGATCTTGAGCAACAGGCTACGATAATAAATGACATTTACCAAGCAAAAAGCCTCTCACACAAAGAGGAACAGACAACCATAAATCACCAAACATTTAAGAACAACATGAAAGTTAGATGCAGAGGCAGAAGGGGAGATGGAGAAGGGAGAGAGATAGAGAGGAAGGGCTGGAGGGAGGGAAAGACACACACACAGAGAGACAGAGAGAAAGAGAGAGAGACACAGAGAGAGACAGAGACACAGAGAGACACAGACACAGAGAGACAGAGAGACAGAGGCAGAGAGGAGAGAGAAAAAGAGAGAACATACTCAATAAAATACAACTTACTGGATGAAACAAAAGCAAATTTCAAATTAAGTATAATTAATATCCTCAAAGAGATCTAAAGAATATCATAACATTAATGGAAAACAGAGAGTGCTATTAAAATGAAATAGGGTTTAGGAAATGAAATTAACTCAAAAGGCAGAAATGAAAGAAACTTCCTTAAGGCAGTTCCCAGAAGGGAATATAACGATTCCTTGTGGTGTTAATATTATAAAGATCAATTAAAGCCATAAATATAATTATGTGAATCTTGAAAGCAATTAAAATCTAAAGAATGGGTTAATCCGGCACTTATTACTTCCTTGGGTAGTAATTTTAACTTTACATTTGGTAGTAAAAAGAAACAACACTTACAGGTAAAACTGTTAGACTTTGAAGAAAGAAGTTGATTCTCTGGCATCATCATTTGCCTCTTAGGATCAAAGGTAAAGTAAGCCAGCTGGGTTTGCTGTATTTTATAAACCCTGAGCTCCACATCACCACGTAACATGTACAAGTCCTTGATCAGCATGATGACCAGTGTTTCATGTAGAATTCATCCCCACTGTATGGTCAGCTCCATCCATGAACATGTACGATGTGAACTGTATTTCCCTGTGTTCTGTGTACTAGAATTTCACAGCCAAGTGTGGCGCTCAATCATAAGAAGCATTTAATATCAGATGAAGGACATATTTGGATCTTTAGCTTTCTATTCTCTTTTTCTTTAATGTATTTATGGGGAGTGGAGTGATGGCCTGGCAATTAAGAATGCCTGCTGCTCTTTCAGAGGACCCGGGTTCAATTCCCAGCACCCACATAGCAGCTCACAAATGTCTGTAACTCCAGTTCCAGGTGATCAGAGACCTTCATACGTAGGAACTACACACAAATGGGTATACAAGCATACATGCAGCTAAGATATTCATACACATAAACAAAATGAATAAAGAGTAAAAAAAATTCCTTGTTTCTCAGAAGCATTCAGAATAAAAACAAAAAGCTGGAGACTAGAAAACCTTGCTTGGAGTATTCTACTTTTAGTTCAGAAATCCTTCAATTTGAATACCAAAGCCTATCGTTGTTACATTTTTTCAAAGGTTCACTATTCAAGCACTTACCTGCACTATTCTCCTCTGACATTACAGTATGGCAGAGAGCCAGTAAGCGAAGGAATTCGTGGACTTTGGGGTCCCCCAGCTCAATGGATTCCATCAGACTGTGGTCAAAGAAATGGAGTGTTCTTTCTGATTTCGATTTGCCTGGGAAGTCCATAGCCTCCTTTTTCTACAAGAGAACACCACCACCACCAAAACAAACTTTTTCCAAAAGTAATCATTTGTCTTTTCCATGTTTTAACCTTTGCACATTTTATGGGTTGTCATTATATGTCTTAACTTTTAAAAACCTGCAACCACTAATTTATCCCAGATTGTTTCAAGACTAAAACTTTTCTAGTAGACATTCACACGTTCCTGTGTAGCAGAGTAGGGCCTTCTATCTTTGAGGGAAGTTTATTAAGACCCAGGATGTTAAAGGTGGGGTGGGGATGAAACTATTTTCTTGCTGGGAAGATCCTTAAATTCAATGAGTAAACCACTCAGAATAGCTTCAGGGAGACCTTGAAACTAACCAGATTCAACAGACCCCTTCCTCCACATGTATATAAGCAGTAAGGACATCTGTAAGCCCTGAAACACCTCCTAGAAGAGGTAGAGATCAACCAGGCTGCCTTGGAAGGCTCAGACCGAGTGAGCTACCTGGAAAGGACACTCTCCAACCTCTGAGCTTCCTGTAGGATATGCACGTTTCCAGCTATCGTGGGTGGTTGCCACATTAAGGTGGGCTCTGGTGATGCAGCTCTCTGAGCTACTCTGCTCCTGTAAATAACCCCTCACCCATTTTCCTTTAAGGAACCCCAATAAAATCCATTGGCTCATTAAGATGGAACCTGGTGGTACCGTTATTTTAGTTTGTCATCAGTTCCCTATCTGGACTAAATAGGCTCTCATACCCTTAGGAATAGTGTCACACAACACCTTCGCTGTGTACTTCTTTCCATTTAAGAACTCCAACCTGACCTCCACCTTTTGACCTTTTGTTGATTTCATATGGTCATGCCCTATCTTTCAGACATTTAAACCTCAAGTTTAGAAACTTTATGACAGTCCTATAAGTAATGAAATGTCCCTTTCCTTTCACAACAGACTATCTCTCAGCTTCTGGGTTTATAAGGATATGACAACCATTCAATTGCTTTGGCCCTCCGCTTTTCCACTATATTCCCATATCCAAGGCTGGTAACATGGATCTTTGTAACTAAAATTAAGTATTCCCTCCAAAGATGAAATCATATGAGTATTATTATTATATTTATTGTTATCTAGTTAACAGTCTAGCGTCACACTGTGGCTGGACTTCCATTTCTTTGGCTCCAAGGTCTGAATCCATATGTATCACAGAGAGACACTGAAATACACAACCCTGCCATGTCCAGAATCCCTTTGTGTTCCATCCTTACTTTGGGATCGGAGGAGATGCTTGTTTTCATGTACTCTTGTTTTGACCGAACGTTTCAATGTGGCCTTTTTCGGGATGAAGAAATGATGCTTTGGGCAACGTGCTCCTTTCTGCCTTACCATGCTTTCGTTTATTCACTGATCCAGTATTTACAGGAACTACAGGTCTTAAGCTATGCTCTGCCAAGAGGCAGCTGCCACACCATCACTATATAGCTTGAATCACCTACAATGCTATGTAGCAGAGGCTCTATCCAAGAGGAACAAAGAATAGGCGGGACTTCCGCACAAGAGAGGCAGGCCGGTGACTGTGGCTACAGCACTGGAGCCCAAAGCCTCCTGAATTTCCCAGCTGGGACCCTGGTGTGGTGCAGAGACCTTGCCTTACCGGGATGACAGCTGTTAGGAGTCAGGAAGCCAGCCATGTTAGTACAATGGCAAGATGAGGTGTTGCCCACCAAGTAGACATCTACAATAGGTCAAATCCTGTTGCCCAGGCAGCAAGGCCATATCCTGCATTATGGAGCTGACTTCCCCTGCCAGACCCCAGAGCCTAATGCAGGACATGGAGCTCATTCCCACTCTCAGGGCCTGGGCTCTGGCTGAACTGTTCAGTAAAATAGGAAATGAAAAGTGGGACAGGGAGGGGCCCTGGTTAGGGACTTGCAATAAGAGCAGGCTGCAGAGTCAGAGTCAGCAGCCCTCACTGGTGCTCAGCCTTGTAGAGTCGAGAGTGTTTCTGTCAGTCAGGCTTCTGCTGCTTGTTAAGTAGACCAGCACTGGGAGAAACCCACTGAGGCTGCTTCCCAGAGAACTATGGACTTGAGCTTGTGGGCACCTCCTCTATTATCATCTCTGTGAGTACCATCAAGAGTAGCTATGGCCCTGTCTGCCTCCAGCACCAGGGAGTCTTGCCTCTGTGTGACTTGGTCTCCTCAAGGACCTGTGACTCATGACACTTGTCACTCTGAATCAGCTCTGGCTGTTACTCTCTTCAGCTGCAGGGCCTCCAGGGCTGTTTGTCCTTGTTCACTTTCCATACATAGGGCCTAGCATCATACTTAATCCTGTGGTTGGGCAGCACTTGCAGTAGCTAGGACCATACTCTTCAAGATGACTCATCAGGATTTATCTGTCTGCCCGCCCCCTCCCCATTTTTTCCCTAACCCAGGCTCATGACCAATAGGGTAGACTTTCAGCTCAACCAGCTCAAAGAGCCAGCCTGTGAAAGGCACATAGATGAATGACATTGTGGCCTGTGCTGCTTCTTGGGGAGGTGACGTACTTCTGACATGATGTGGCAATTTTGTGCCTTGGCTTGCTTAGAAGTGGGGGTAGGAGTGTTTTATGTGTCTTGGCTTGCTTGAGGAGTGAGGTTTATTACCAAGGGCATATCCTTGACCCTCGGGGCCAAAGCCTTTAGTGACATCTTTCATGTGAGTCAGGGTGTGTCCTACATCCACATTGCTGCAGTTCAGGGGCACACTAAGCAAAGTGTAAGTGTCACAAGAGTTGGGAACCAGTGGGTAGGAAAGATCACAGCATTCACAATGTTATCTTCAGTCATATCTCCTGCCAGAGTAGAGACCTTGACATGAAACCTGCATTCTTCCAGCCATTTGAACAGAGAGATGAATCCATGCACAGCTCTAAAGATTTGGAAACTGTGTGGCCAAGGGACCTTGATTAGAAGAAATTTTGAACCATGTAAATCTATTTCTTGTTTTGTTTTTTACATGTCTCATGGTGGATAGTATAAATCAAGCCTTTAAGAATGTGTCATACTTTAAAAGCATATACCATTTAAAACTAAAGCAAAAAAAAAATGGAATGCATCTCTTCTATACCTTAGTTATTTCTTTCTTCTGACCCACGTCATCTGGCACTTCACCCACTAAAATAAACATTGAAAGTAAATAGTAAGTAAAACTGAAAGTAGTTTTAAACATGCAATTTTAGAGGATAAATTTAGCGTTTTGTTTTGCTTGCACTTTGGGGTTTTTTAATACCATGGAGAGATTAATATAACTACATCATTTCCCCTCCCTTTCCTGCCTTCAATCTCTCCCACATGTTCCATCTTTCTCCACTTCAAAGTAATGGCTTCTTTTCCATTAATTATTATTGTATGCATATATATATATGCATACAATAACAATATATATGACAATATATATAACAATATATATGTGTGTGTGAATATACATATATATTTCTAAAAAAACCTTGCTCAGTTAGTATAATTTTACATATATTCAATTTTACACACACACACACACACACACACACACACACGGTGCCAATTAGTGTACTTTTTCTTAAAGTACTATTACTAGATAGAATATAAATTCAAGTATTGGCAGAATATGCATAACCCTATAAATGGCAATATAGAGGAGTGCTTATGCTTAAGATAAAACAAAATAAGTATACATTAAAAATAAAAGGTGGTGAGACATGTGTCCCCAGCTTAGCACATCAATCAACTCCCATCAGAGAAAATTTGTTCTGCAGTGGAAATGATTAACACAGACCCACAGCTGACTAAGGAATGGAAGATGAGAGGCTGTGGAATTCTCAGCCCTAAATGGAGTGTCTACAACATACCCCATCCCTCCAAGGCACAGGGATAATGTCGGGCAAGGGAGTAGAAAGACTATGAGGGTCGTAAGAAGTGGGTGACTACAAAGAAACCGTTCTCTGGATACAGAAGACACATACGGACTCACAGCAGTTGAGAGTGCGTAAGACCTGTACAGGCTCAGGCCATACAAAATGCCAGTGTGGGGGGAGAGGAAGAGACGGGTACAAAGTCACACTTCCAGATAAGAAGCTATTGGCAGAGGGAGAGAAAGTCCATTTTTCTATGGGCGCAACCTTTAATAGGTAGCCTACCCTCTAGTAAGTGACACATATCCAAAAGCATATGGGCAGCATAAGCTACACCTGACAGGCAAAGATGGGGAGAGGACGCCAAGTAGGGAAGCTGACGTGAATTTAGGAGGAGTCGGGGGAGAGGGTGAACATTATAAAAATGCATTGCACAAAATTCCCAAAGAACTAATGAAAAATGAGCAAAAAAATTAAGATGGTGAACACTAGATGATAGTGCTCCCCATAAGAGCCATAGACTAACCCCAGTACCTACCATGGGAAACCTTTTGATCTGGTGGTCAGGGTGAGTCCAAGGGACTAGTGAGACAATAGATTGTCATTGTCCTTGGTTACCTCCTAGAACATGAAGGCAAAACCCTATTGCTGACGATATTTCAGACACGGGACTTGGAGAAATCAATCTGGAACTGGTCTGAAACCTCCTTCCTGAGGACTATCTTTAATAACATATGAAGATGCTATGAATGCTTGCCAGCGGGGGAAATGTTTGTTCTATGTTCTTGTATTTTGGAAGTAAATAATCAAACTTTATTTTCCAAGGGATCACAGTTACAAGACTACCTTGAGTCTTTGAAGAGACTTTGGACTTTTGAAGCACATTAGGAGTGTTGAAGACTATAGGAAGTTTTGAAGTTGGATGAAACACATTGTGGACCACGAGATGACCATGAGCTGAGGGAGCAAGGGCTGAATGTCATGATTTGAGTGTGGCATGTCATTCACAGGTTCTCATGTTTGAACAGCTATTTCCCAGCGAGTGGCACAGCCTCATGTGCTTTGCAGGAGGAGTCCTTGAGATTGTAATGAACCTAGTCAACCTCCTACAATATAAATCTGAGTCACATGGTCATGGTCCTATCATGACCACATATGCATTCATTCAAATTAAATGATGGAAAAAAGAGAAAGAACTGTGTCTTTGTATTTAAAAGTCCCCCAAAGAGAGCCTATTGCAGGGCTAGAGATAAAACAGAAGAAAAATTAAAGACCTAAGAATATAATAATACTGAGTACAGAAACAAGATGTAAATAGGTGTTCTGGATAGTTTTATGTCACCTTGACACACACTGGAGTCATCTGAGAGGAGGGAACATCGACTGAGAAAATGCCTCTATAGGATTGGGCTCAAAGCACGGCTGTGGGACATTTTTTTAAATCAATAATTAATGTGGGAAGGCCCATCCAATTGTGGGAGGTGCCATCCCTGGGCTGGTGGTCCTGGGTTCTATAAAAAGTATGCTGAGCAACCATGAAGAGCAAGCCAGTAAGCAGCACCCCTTCATGACCTCTGCGTCAGCTCATGCCTCCAGGTTCTGACTCCTTTGGTGATAAGCCATGATCTTCAAATCTAAGCCAAATGAACCCTTTGCTCCCTCGGTTGCTTTGGTCTTGGTGTTTCATCTCAGCAATGGTAAACTAAGACAATCAATCGGTTAGAGTGAAAAGTTAACATTTCCCAAAGTCCAGGTCTATGACTCGAAACAAGTTAAGCTGTACCCAAAAAAAGCAATTCTGAACAGTATGTGTATGTGCAAGGAGAAATATGTTTTATGGATATAAATACGTTATAAATTATAATGCATATATAAATTGGGACCAAAAGAGGATACTTAACCCTTTCTGCTCTTTTCCTGTATTCTATGAGGGAAATTACTAGCCCTCATACAGTTTTTAAAATATGCAAATTTACAAAGATCTTGAAATCTCTACCTGAAAATATCAAGAAGTTGTCTCTAAAAGTAGCCTTCGGTAAACGTTTCAACAGATGGTTATTGGTCCACATGTCTAAAAATTACAGACTGCTTCTTAGAAATTATATCACTGGGTTAAAATGAATCAAAGGGATCTCTAAATTTCAAAATATCCCCCAGTATTCTAAAACAGTCTTACTTACACCACTATTTTGGTTAAGGAAGTATTTTTAGACTCAAAAAATAATGTCCATAAATTTTAAGTAATGGTTCTAGCTATTTAGCAGGCACGATGTGGATGTAAGACACACAAGAAAACTCAGGCTGAAAGTCACCATGTCCACTACCAAAGAGGCAGGATAGGGAACTAGGGATACAGGAGAGCTGAGGGCCCCATTACTGCATGGGTGGGTGACAGTGATGGGATTCAATGAGAAGGAGGTCACAAGACAGGACAGTATAGCATATTGACTTTTTCAATCCCTTGTTTTCCTTCAAAGTCAAATCCTGCTTTAAATTATTTGACAAGGTGTGAAGTTTCCTTCCCATTAGGAGACATAGAAAAGTTACCCTCTCTTGGAACTCCTTGACAAAATGAATGACCTCTATGAATTAAGGTAAAAGATCCAGCGGAGCATCGCAAAGGTCCCACTAGACCTCTACAGAAGAAATTGTCTGCTAGCTAGCTAACACCGACTTGAGATGGGCCAGGAACAAAAAGGACACTTGGATCCCCAAATACAAACCATTTATCCATACAGAAGATTCCAAAGGGGAACTTGGAGGTGAAGGTGCCAGAAGAAATGTGCATTTCAGGAAATACTAAATCCTCAGAAACACATATATTGACATTGATCCCACAGGGGAACAGAGGAGGAAGCATAAGACATTGGCTTAACAAGATAAATCATGCTGCCTAGGACTCATCCAGGGAATTTAGCCTCTAGAGCAGTTACAGAGCAAATCCACAGAACAGTGTATCAAAGGGAACTGTCTCTAGCCATGGATGGTAACAGATCCTAAGTTTCATCAGATTGTTTCAAATATGTGCAATAACTAGTTTATGGGTGTCCATTGTCTGTCAAGTATCGTGGCAATGCTTAACAAGAAAACCATGATGGTTGGGTAAGGGGATATTATTTTTTAATGATGTTGCTTATTTATACATTTGGTACCATTAAGATAAACTATTCCCTTACCATAGACTCTTCCATTAATGGAACATTTTTTAAAAGTCATGATGTTTTGAGTAAGAGTTCCTGTTTTGTCAGAGAAGATATATTCAATCTGGCCCAGCTCCTCATTGAGTGTGGTCGTCCGGGCTTCAGCGGGCATCGCTTTCACAGCATAATACATCTTCCGGTCCCAATTTATAAAATAACTGTGTCCCAGACGGATTACTTCCACACTGTGGTCCATTAACATGAAAAAGAAAGGAAGAAAACAGAGAGAGAGAATCTATCATTATATGAACACACAAAGCATTGCCAACATCCTCAAGAGTTTCAAAAACAAAAGAAAAATATAGAAGTGCTTTGTCCCTAGGTCTTAGTGATCTTCAGAGATGCCTCCACTGAAAATCTGCTCCTAACCCTTGGTGCCCAAGCTGTTTCCTTACAGCGTCACAAAGCAACGGTATAGCTGGCTCATCAGGAAGCCTCAGGCAAGGGCCTGTGCTTCTCTATAGTAAACAAGCCCAGTGGAGAGTTTTGTGTGGCATGTTCACTTGAAACTCAATCTGCATCTCAGAGTAAATGATTCCTTCCTGATATATATGTGTGTGTGTGTGTGTGTGTGTGTGTGTGTGTGTGTGTGTGTGTGTAGTTGGAAGAAATGTGTCGTAAGACATTGATGTGGTTTTACTTTCAAAAGAAGTCAACAATAGGTCTCTACTAAGCAGTAAGCAAACCATGATCAATTTTGACTAAAAACAAGAGTTTCTCACTATCCATCTACTAGGAAAAGAGTACAGTCTTTGTGCAGTAATGGCTTATATTCAAACTCCAGAAACGGAAAGTCTGTGGCCAAGGGTCTTAGTCCAAATGTCTGTCATCTATAATGCCAAGTGGGGTGGGTGCCCAAAAGATTATGACAATGTAAGGTATCGGTTTTTTGTAGAAATTTTATTAAGGGATTTTCTTAGGTTTGTATTATATTGTTAACTACTTGCAAAAAAAAAACCTGTTTCATAAAACTAAGTGTAGCTTCAATGATAAGGTTATAGTTTTTTCTAGGAATCCCATTTTTGAAAGAACTTACATTGTAACATATTCAGCTTTCCTTTATTTTTATATAGTTCCACACCACAGCCAGACAGATTTGTTCCTGTACATTAGGTGTTTTTATTGATGGGTAAGTTTTTAAATTATTGTTGATCTAAAAGATAGCATATATATATAATCACTTACATTACCAGATGCTAAGCTGAATTCTAGCAGGGTTGTGTATTACTTTGGATGCCCAGGTTTATAATCACTTGTATGCATTATTTTTTTCTGAATAGGTTCATTTTAGTTTGAATTAATCCTGCCTTTGCTCATCAACTTTAAATTCAAGTCTTTGTATATTAACAAGAGCATTTGAAAGAATATAAAATTGCACCAATAATAGTAGCGACCTACAGTTTATTTCTGGTCTGAGTGGGTTTTCTTGTCTTTACAGGAAGAAGGCTAGATGATGCGTGGGAATTCTGAATGCTGTGCATCAAGTTCTGAAAGCTGGGCACAACTCTTTCCTCTCGGAGTAACGTGGGGCTATGTCATCTCTGAGTTTCTCATAAACTAAAATCACAGGATGACTACATAAAATCATATGATAGAAATATAAACATATCTTAATTCTGCATGTATTTATATATTCTAATGTGGGTTTTACTTTTCTGCCCCTCTCCCTGCTTTCCTAACTAGCCACTCTGACTCACATTTTTGCAGAGTAGCTTACCGTCTCCTTATTCCTTTAACTGGGAAAGTGTTAGGACTCATAAGAGTCCAGGCCCATCACCTAACCTGTCCTAAACAGGCAGACAGTGTCAAATGAGTAAGTCCTGGCCCTCTAGTTTCTAACTTCACCAATTAGGAAACTATGACTTGCAAGATTACCAAGTCTCTCTCTCTCTCTCTCTCTCTCTCTCTCTCTCTCTCTCTCTCACACACACACACACACACACACACAAATTAGTCCCAAGTTATAACCAGAATCCCAGCATCTGTTACAGGCAGTGCAAACCTTCACGATAGTATTATGCAATGATCTCCTCTTCCTGGAGGCTTACTTCCTATAGTTTCAGTTACCCACAACTAACTATATCCAAAAATTATTTGATGGAAAATTCTAAAATTAAACAATTTTTGTTTTAAGTTGTGTAATGCTTCAAAAGGATGAAATGTCACCCCGTCCTGCTGTGTTTGGATGTACCACGTCTGAGATGTGATGGACGCCTTGGCTGATACACCCCTCAGCATACACTGTCCAGTCATCACACAGCAGCCGTCTTAGCTCCCAGATCTCTAAGTATGGCACTGCAGTGTCTGTGTCTAAGTAATATTATCACAATGCCAAGTCATCCTCCACACTTTGTCCTATCATTTTGACATTATATCATCATATATCAAAACACAGGTGCATATGGAACAATGTAAGACTTTGAAACTGGAAAGCCATGTTAATATAACTTTTACTGTACTATGCGATTATAATTTTTACCTTTGTTCACTTTATTGTTAATCTATTACTGTGCCTGATATGTAAGTTAAACTTTATTATAGATATGCATGCATAAATAGGAGAAATGGACAAACAATGTTCATTATGACCAGCACTCCTGAGATCCCCTGAGGATCCTGGAAGACATATTGCCCCTGAAAGGAGGGTCACTCTGAAAACAGTCACTCGAAGGTTTGTATTGTCTGCAAACCTGGTAGCTCCTTGTAAATTAAAAGCAGTTTTGTAGTAGTTTTTTTATTTTCTCATGCTGCAGTACAGCTCCTTTTTGCTTGGGAAGAGAGGGTTTAGGGGAGTGGCAGTACTACACACAGCCCTTTCTTTCATACACACATTCACATAAAGAGGCATACACACACACACACACATGCACACACACATGTACACACACACATAGAGAAAGACATACACACATGCGTTCACACATGCATGCACACATGTACACACATACATACACACAACCTGTAGCTGGGCCTTTCTTGCTGCATAAACACACTGACAGCATGGAAATATAAAAATAAATTTCTCTGCTCACCTAGAATTGTCAACTGATCAAAGGGAACCATGAACTCTCACCATGTGGCATTAGTTTATGTATTGTACCTTATCCAAAAGCCTAATGATGGCTTCTGTGGGAGACCTTCGGCCCTCATCACAGACACACATTTTCCCGTTCCTATATCATAGTGTTTGAACATCTAAGACCAAACAGCTTGAAATTTCTTGAAGTGCTTTCCCTCTCAAGTTGAGATCAGAATCACTTATTCAGTGAGAGGAAAACCTCAGCTTTTTATCTTCACTGGTCCCAAGTCCAGTTTAGGGTCAGAGGGGAAATAAGGTGCAAATGTCAGACAATGTGGATTTAGATCTTCACTCTGACCTAATTAGCTATGTTATCCTGAACGAATCAACTCCCCATTTCAACAAGAGCTACTTCAGAAGACTTGGGGGATGCATAAATGAGATAAAGTATGTTTAGTGTCTTATGCAAAACATTAAAAAAAGAAACAGAGCCACCCATGGAATGTGGCAAGGCCTCATATTCATGTCAAATTGTAGAACAGCAGTGAGAGGTTTTGAAATCATAAAAAGCAATGCAGAAGAAACTAGTTTTATGCAATGAAGTGCTGTACCAATATCAAATATAAGTGATTATGTACAGATAAATCAAAAGGCGGGCGCTTTCTATTGTTTGAATAGAAAGGAATCCAGAAATCAATCATTTTTAATGTCCTCATCTTATTTTATAGAGCAGCACATATTTGACAAACACAAGCCAAAGAGAAGCCAAGGACTTTCTCGAAGGCCAGGGATCTTATTACCAATTACCTAGACTCCTAATATTATAAATGTGGTTTTTGTTAACAAGTACACACTAAAAGTAAAAGAAATGTTAACCTGAGGACCTAGCCATGGTTTTTATAAAAAATTTTAAAAAAAAACCTTTTAAATCATTAAATGAGGAAAGGAATGGTACAAAGAAGATACAAAGAGAACATGTTCTCCACAAGGACAAAAACTCAGTGTGTGAATATACAAATGACAAGCCACTGTGCACATGGGCAGATGGTACATCTATGCAGTATTGGTTATCAGGACATTAAATGGAAAGCAACAAAGTTGATCACAGCTTTTCTGGCAAAGAATAGCATTTACTACAGGCTTTATAATGGGATTCGAGCATAAGAGACTCTCAGTACTGAAGATGTGCCAATATGATGAGCCAGTAGAATACAGATTACACAGAGTCCAGGCTGCCCACAGCTCCAGACCGCCTGGAGCAATTTGTGGTGTTGTGGCCACATGCCCCTACTTCAAGTCAATTTCCCACAACTTGACATTTCAGTTTCCTTACCACTATCCAAAACAAGAGTGACTCTTGTTCATTAACGTTCTTTGTTTCACTGTGGCTTAGTTTTTGGAAAGAGAAAAGAGAAGTTAGTCATAATTAGAGGAGAGCCAGAGCTGGTGGCTTTGTATATAGTCAGTACTGATGGCGGGCGTACAAAACAGCCAAGTCTGTCTTCACTCCAGGATCTGGGGGAGGCTCAGCCTTGGTAGAATTGGGATAGATAATGCCTCAGGTAGACTTATCTAAATCTTATGGAGCACACTCATTCACACACATACATGTATGGAGAAAGGGGAAGTCATAGAGAGAGAAGAAAACATATGTATGTTTGGAGAAAGAGAGCACACAGAAAGAGCAAACATTCATTCACAGAGAGGGAAAGAGAGCACACACACACACAGAGTTGAAGGCAGATGCAAACTATGACAGACTATTTTAATCATTCTATGGAACTAAATCTAGAAACTGTAGATCAGGATAGTGGGAATTATGAATCATAGTTACCTAACAATAGCTGGGTACTATCACCTACTTACTTGGGGTCCTTTCTGTATTTATTTATGATGTGTCCAATAATAAGGGCGACTACCACTCATTAAGCTTTAGAGTATGCCAGACATTCATTGAGTCCTCAGATAATCCTATGAGACAGGACTTACATTTTGCCCACTTTTAAAGTCAACAAGCTTAAGAAGTAGATGGTGAGGTGATTTTCCCAATGTTACAGGCGCAGTAGATGATAGGGCAGCACCTGCATCCAGGTACCTGAGGCAGACGAACAGCTGGAAGACCACATCTCAAAACATCCCGGGTTTTTTTCCTACCTTAAACCAACTCAATTTTACTGATCAGATTCCATGAGATTATAGTGCAGTTTATATGTTCCAAAAAAAAAAAACCCACATCCCTAAGAAACCATACTAATCAAGAAAAAAATAAAATGCATTTGTTAAGATACAAAAATGTACAAGTTAAACAGCATTAAAGCACCAAGTCGCTGTTGTGGATAGCCCCAGCCTTGTATTTTGATGCTAATTCTCCTTTCCTGGGAAGAGCTGCAGAGGAAGAGTGAATCAGTACACAGGTGACTTCTAGTGAACCTTCTGCCCATTTGTAAAATAAAGGCTGGAGCCAGTGATTGGGCAGAAGAAGGGGAGGTGGAGAAATAAAGGTTAGTAGGAAGAGAGCAGAGAAGAGGAGAGAGACACAGAGCATGATGGAGGAGGATGACTGGGAAGCAGGAGGTAAAAGGACAAACGCAGGGTCTGGAAAACCCTCAAGTTATAAGGGTCTCATAGCTGGGGAATAGGGTAGTGAAGTGGTGAATCTGCCCAATCTAGGCTTGCAGAATATATTCATATTTATTGAGTTGTGTTTTCTTTCACAAGTCCTGTTTGGGTTGGAGATTTATCGCCACAAGTCGCCTTATTGCTGACAGATATAGCAGATCATACACAGGGTGAGCAACCAAATGACTTCACAATATAAACCTCACCTCACCTGACATATAATGAAATGGGCACAAGCGTGTTGAGAATGATGACATATGACCAGAATGTTAAGAATCCAGAGAACAAGGAACTCTTCTCGCCTTCTCTCCAGAAGAGGGAAGTTCTGAACTGGTCTCCAACTTCACGCTCCCAGATAGAATTTCCTATTGCAAGAATAATTCCCAAGCATACCAGAAACCCAAAAATCTGAAATAACAATAGAAGTGTAGAAGTTTGGTTAATGTTAACATGAATATCAAATTGATCAAATCAATACAATCTACAAATCAATTTCCCATAAGAAATTGTCATTTAAAAATCAAGTTACACAAACCCTTTCTTACTTATAACCAGGCATATGAATAGAAGTTAGCATTTTATGGCTGAGATGTAGCTAGATACCTGGCATACACTTCTCACTTAATTCTCCCACTAACTCTCTCTGATTCAGATGCAATCATTATCCACAGATTAAAAACAAATTAAAGAGATAGGCACAGAAAAGACCATGCTGTAGGTTGACCCCATCACTCAGTTATTGTCACGCCCTTACTCTGTGATGAATCACAGAGGAGGATGAGCCAAAACACCTCATGATGGAGATGCTTTGTTTTTGAAATACTTGAAATAAGTGGGAGGCAAGGTGAAAATGTACAGCAGATTTTAACAGCACCATCACTACCACAATTAGGAAAGCAAACGTTTTGGAGGTACGTCAGAGAGACAATGAAGTCATCAGCGCAGAGTCCAAACCCACAGCCTCACAGATGAAGGACACAAAGGCAGTGTCTTGAGAAAAAAATTGTAGTAATGTGTTCTGCTTCTGTATCAGGAGCTCACACTAGCCACTCAGGAGGCAGGGTCTCTAAAAAGTAGGAAAGTGTCCTTTTTTCTCCAAGCAAGACTGTTCCTGATATCTAGAACTATTTTCTTCTTCATTCTCATAAATAAAACAGGAGCATATGAAGACAAAGTTGAAAAAATTTTCCTGAAGGTTTATTAGAAAAAACTAGGTATAAAAGAAATTTGAATGGTGTATCCCCCATACAGTACCAATTTGTATCTACATCATAGTGTCTTCTTTTTTTAATAGTTGGTGCTACAGATTAATTGAATGGAATTACTTTAAACCACTAAAATTAATGATGTTTGCCATTAAATGTCCTACTTAAAAATTCTGAGAGGATCATCTTACTTACTACCACAAAAACCAAGGGTGCTGCCAGTGACCTTATGCTGTGATTGACAGATGATAGGTGACAGGTGTGTGTGTGTGTGTGTGAGAGAGAGAGAGAGAGAGAGAGAGAGAGAGAGAGAGAGACATAGATATATACATAGTTGTAGAGAGCCGCGGCGGGTGCTGGCAAAGTCCGCCATCACTAGGTGGCACTATCAGCCATAATTCTTCCTAGTAAACAAGTAAACTGCGCATGTGCCATGGTAAAAGCCCGCCAAAGTTAAAGCCCATCCCACGGCGTTTGGCGCGCAACGAGTAAGCAGCCAATCAGAGGTGAATACACCGCTCTAGGGTATATAGGAGTGCTTTCCCAGGGCTGGGGGTCTTCTTCCACCATTTTGGTTTTTGGGAATAAACGTGTTCATACGGAAGGATTCTGGGGTGTGTGTGTGTGTGTGTGTGTGTTCTTGCCGGCGAGACGACTACACGCGCGCCGCACACAGTTACATAGGTAGATAGACAGACAGACAGACAAATTAGACAGGCAGATAGACAAATATAATATTCTCACCAAGAGAACTATAGTACTATTCAACCTGTCAGTGATCTGCTCATAGTTCTAGAGTACTTATCAACCTGTCAGTGACTTAGTCACAGCACTAGAATATGCATCAATCTGTCAGGGACTCAGCCATAGTCCTAGAGTACTTGTCAACCTCTTAATGATTAATCCACAGCACAAGAGTACTCATTACCCTGTTAGAAACTTACCCACAGGACTAGGGTATTCATCAGTCTGTCAATGCTTGTCCTTTTAAACTTGGTCTTACCACTGTTCTGCATGAGTTTAGTGTCTGGACCTGTAAAAGAGTAACATTTCTGAAACAAAATCAATCTAATGGCAAGAATCAATATGTACCTCCCAATAATAACTCTTAAAGTTATAAATTCCCCAATCAAAAAGCACAGACTAGTATACTTGCTCAAAAGGCAGGACACATATTTGCTACCTTCCAGAAACACACCTCACCACAAAAAGCAGAAACTACTGTAGGGTTAAAGAATGGAAAATGTATTCCAGTCAAAAGGAACCTATAAAACAAACGCAAAGGGGACTCATCCCTGGATGAGTCAGCTAATACTTATTTGGCAACAAATTAGATACAATTATCTTCAGGTCACAAATAATGAAACAGGCCTAAAGAATTTAACTTTCCTGCGAATTCTCATTCTACAAGCCCAGAGAGAGAACTTGAATTTCAACATACCTAACTCTAAAGCTCTTGTTCTAAATTATTACTTATAAACTACATGAGACAAAAAAACAATGCATATTCAATACTGTACCTCATTCAGGAAGTTCTACAATGTATGAAGAGGAGCATATTGGAAGCAGAAGACTAATATAGCAAGCCAGGCTCAACAGCTATCCAACTGTTTCCCTACCTAAGCCAACGTGATACAGTGAAGGAAGACTTATTATTGGATCCTAAAGGTAGGAACAATAGGTTTACAGCCTTTACAAGAGTGATCTTATGTTGAAGGACCCATACAATCTGAAACAACTACATAGAGATGTATATTTAGTGAATAAATACTTAGGATTTAATAATTTTTCTCCTTTTGATTTCTTTCATGACTCATCAAGACAAAAATTAAGGAAAGGCATGATATCATGGTTTTATATCCACAGCTTTATATTCAACCACAAGTACCACCCAGCATGGCAAAGAGAAGGCTGGAAAATGAGAAGATAAGACCTATGGGGCGAATGAATGACAATGAGCACAGACTTTATATGCAGCAAGATGGCTTCGGACCCTACAGACTCCTTAAGTGAGTATGGCCTCTTCCCTCAGAAACAAGCTTTGATCCCATCTTGAGCACAAAGGAAAGCCACCAGGGAAGCATGGCCAGGTGTCCATATGGATTAAACTTACGAACGATAGGTTTGTAAAGTAAACCATGCCTCTGAATTCTATCTCCATATCTCCTGATCAATGTGCATAAGTTGCATTTAAAAACAAGAAGAAGGGTTAATAATTAATTCTAGATCCAGTTTCACAAGATCTAAGATCCAACTAGAACTTGTCTCCTGTTCAAATGTCTCAAGGCTTGGGTACTCATACTACCCATCGATTCAGCATTGACGTGGGCAAAAACAACCCTGAATTCCTCTGCTTGCCAATATTCTAGTTAAGCTCTCTATTGACTAAAGCCAATGCAGGTATTGTCTGCTTTACAAATGTCTACCTGACCTATGTGCCCTAAAAGTGAACACCCAGGACATAGCACAAAAAAAAAAAAAAAAAAAAAAACAGAGAGCTCCCTTTCTCCTCCCCGAAATGCAGAGAATAGTCCAGTTTTCCTAGCTCGGCCCATAGAGCGGTCAGAGTGCGCAAAACTGTTGGTAAAAGCAGTGGGCATGGGAAAAATACCATCAAGCATCCTCTTCCACACCCATCACTGCACCTGAGCAATGTATTCTAGTGAGCTCATGATTATCCTGTGTTACCACAGAGGGAAGAGCATAGAAAGTATCATAATGAGGATTAGAGCCTAGAGCTCCTAAACAACCTGAACCCATATCTGCCTGGCCTGATCCCTATTCTGGAAACTTCTGTTCAACACACCTCCTTCCACCTATATAAGAGGATTTCCCCAGAGACAATTTTATGAAGGAGACCTTGACCCCCTCAACAACCTCAGAAGTGGCTCTCAACAGCTGTCTTAGAACATATAATATGACTCAAATTCTTGAACTAGTCATTCAGAACAATATTATACAAATGCAATGAGCTTTTGGATGACACCCCATCCATGGGATGAGGCATCCTCAGGTCAGTGATAACAGAGAGTGGACAAGAGAATGTTTCCCAAAAGACCTTTCAGATGGAGAAACCATTTGAAATCTCCATGCTCTTTAACAGAAAGTAAAGGAAATCTCTGAGTAAGCTTGGCTTTTTACTTCTCTGCAAGAAAAATTAAAATACAACATAAATAACCATAGACTTATCTACCTCACCAATGAAAAAAAGCATCTGACTATTATGAATAAAGCTGCTGTGGACATCATGGAGCAAGTGTCTTTGAGGGACAGTGGAACATCTTTTGGATATATGCCCAGGAGTATAGCTGGGTCTTGAGGTAGAACTAGTCCCTGTTTTCTGAGAAGCAGCCAAATTGATTTCCAAAGTGGTTGTACAAGTTTGCACTTCCACCAGCAATGAAGAAGTGTTTCACCGGCTCCACATTGTCTCCAGCATGTGCTGTCTCTTGAGTTTTTGATCTTAGCCATTCTTATGGGTGTAAAATGGAACCTCAAAGTTGTTTTGATTTGCAGCTCCCAATGTCTACGGACTTTAAATATTTCTTTTAAATGCTTCTCAGCCATTTAAGATTCCCTGTTAAGAATCCTGTTTAGTTCTGTGCCCCAACTTTTAATTGGGTTATTTGGGTTATTGGTGTCTAGCTTCTTGAGAAGTTTGTAAATTTTGGATATTAGCTCTCTGTGAGATGTAGGGTTGGTAGTTTTCCCCAAATTCATAAGCTGCCATTTTGTCCTATTGACAGTATCCTTTGCCAGGCATCCCTGCACATATGTAGGAGCAGGGGCTGTCCCAAAAGCTGTTGCCTGTAAGTGGGATATGCTCTTGTAGCTGAGCTGCCTTGTCTGGCCACAGTGAGAAAGGGTATGCCAAGTCTCAAAGAGACTTGATGTACCAGGGTGGGGGACTACCCAAGGGGGGGGTCCCTCCTGCTCAGAGAAGAAGGAAAGAAGGGATGGGGGAAGGATTGTGGAAAGGGGTGGCTGGGAGGGGGAAGCAATTAGGATGTAAAGTGAATAAGTAAAAATAAATAAATGATAGCTAGATGATAGATAGATAGATAGATAGATAGATAGATAGATAGATAGATGATAGATAGGTAGATAGATCAAAAATTAAAAGAAGAAAAAAAAGGTGTCTGATGAAAGAATCATGAAATTAGGTTCAACCTCACACAAAAGCCTGACTTGCTTCATTTCTAGAGATTAGCTGGGTTTTTACACATGGCAATGCCCTGAGAACAAAAGCAATGCTCAGACCCACAGCTGAGGGTACTTAGCAGCAACTAGGAGGATGTTCTCCAGTTTTAGAACACACTGAGTTTTTAGTGAGCATTTTTGTTGTTGATGATGTTGTTGCTGTTGTTCTTGTTAAGAAAAGTCAGTTAAGAAAAACAATTTGATTTCAATTATACATATAATCAGCAGACACAAAACACATCTTAATTTGGTATCACAATAAACAGAATCTGTTTTTTAATCAAAGGCTAGAAAATGAAGCTGTGAGTGGAATTTGAATGGCTTTGTCAACATGTGTTATTGTTCCTGAGAAGGAGAATGCTACCCAAAACTCACCCAAATAAAGACAAAAATGGTGGGTGACAAAAATCACCCCAATCTACCATAAGGACACTACTCAACTATGTTCATAGTGGCTGTATTCATAATAGCCAGAAACTAGAAACATCCTAGGTGTCCCTCAACCGAGGAATAGATCAAGAAAATATGGTTCATTTACACAGTGGAGCATTACTCAGATGTTTAAAAAAATGTCATCATGAAATCTGCAGACAAATGAGTGGAACTAGAAAAAAAATCATCCTGAGTGAGGTAGCCCAGACCTAGAGAAACAAACAGATGTACTCCCTTATAAGTGGATATTAGCTGTTAAATAAAGGAAATTACACTGCACTTACACAGACCCAGGGAGGCTAAATAACAAGGAGGGACAAGTGGATCTTCCTAGGACAAGGAAATAGATTTTTCAGGTAGACTGGGAGCAGGTAGGGTTGGGAGCAGGAGGGATCAGATGGGGAAGATGACTGAAATTGGGGGGAGGGCATTAGAGGTGTGATGTGGAAGCCTAGTACAGTGGAAGCTTCCTGGAACCTATGAGGATGACTCTAGTGGGGACTCTTAGTAATGGAGGATAGGAGCCCCGAACCCATCACTTTCTGTAACCAGGTAAGACTTCCAGTAGTGGGATTGGGACACCAACCCAGCCACAAAACCTTTGATTTACAACCTGTCCTGCTGGCAAGATGTGCTGGGGCAATGGTGTCTCAGAGCTCATGGGAGTGGTCAACCAATGACTAGTCTGACTTGAGGCCCATGCTATGAGAGAAAGCCCATTCCAGATACTTCCTGGAAGGCCAGGAATCTGGATAGAACCAAACATAATCAGCAAAAATTAAAAAAAAAACCACAATGAAATGATTTCTAATGCTATTCTTATAGATTCCTAATGATATTCTTATGATGCTATACTTACAGACCAGTGACCAAATAGACATCATAGAGACTTCCTCTGGCAGCTTATCAGAGAAGATGCAGAGACCCACAGCCAAACATTAGTATAGCTTGGGAAACCCCCACAGAAGAGGAGGAGGAAGGATTGTCGGAGGCAGAGGGGTTGAGGACACCAGGAGAACACAGCCCTCAGAATCAACTAAGCAGGGCTCACAGAGACTGGAGGAGTAATCACAGAGCCTGCATGGGCCAGCAGTAGGTCCTCTGGATATATACTATGGTTGTTTAGCTTGAGGTTTTGTGGGACTGCTAGTGGTGGGAGGAGGGATGTGTCTGACTCTTTTGTCTGTTCTGGGACCCTTTTCCTCCTACCAAATTGCCTTGTCCAGCCTTGATGTGAGGGTTTGTGTCTATTCTCATTGTATCTTATTATGCTGTGTTCAGTTGATATCTCTGGGAAGGCTGCTCTTTACTGAAGAGAAACTGAGGAAAATGGATCTGGGGGGAAGTGAGGTGGTAGGGAAACTGGGAGGAGTGGAGGGAGGGAAGGCTGTGGTCCCAATGTATTGTTAGTGAAGAATAAGAAAAAGAAAAAAATGGAGGAGAAGAAAAAGTGGGAGAATCTCCCTTCCTACCTGCCTTTCTCCATCCTTCTATCCCTCCTAGCCCTACAAAGTGCAGCCTTCAGATCCATCTCTCTGGTGACAAACAGAAATGATTGCTCTCCAAGAAGGCTTTTTCTCAAATCAGCCTCCTGACCTCTTCAAATGACAAGCAACATGGGCTACAGTGGAGAGAGGAGCTTTCTTTCATATTGATCTTTGATTTTAAGGGCACATTGATTATATAGACTAGCGATGAGGCTTATATGATGGGGTGAAAGAACAGAACAGTAGGTTGTAGATACCATCAGATGCTGAAGGCTTCAGCATCCTTAAGAACAAGTTCGACATATCAGTGGTTCCCACACACTGGGACCACATGGATTATATTCAGAGTACTACTCTCTCCTCTGGAGGCACCACAATCTGGGATCAACTGAGGAGCCAATGCTCAGCACTCAATAAAAACTGTGCACATTCACATCCATAGAGAGCCAGGAACTTTGTGGGAAGGGACAGCACTTAGATGGCCCTGGTCTACACACTGTACCTGCAAAAAGAACCATTCCAAAGCACCAGCCGGTGTTCCTCAGGACACAGCCTCTCAGGATTATCTTCTGGTTGCTTAGGGTATGCTTACTGTCCTTCCAAGAGAGGACCCCAGAGAATCTGTCTAACTTGTTGTTAGGTGCCTCACAGATGACAATCCCTGGAAAATAAAAAGCCTCATCAGACCCACTGCAAGCTTGCTTCAGAAGCCCACCGTGTATTTACCACTCTGCTGTTGAATGCAAGGCATTGTCCTTCTCTTTCAGAAAGTATGCTGTTACACATGCAAGACTTCCCTGGGAAAAAATAAGCTGCAACATGAAAAAAAAGCATAAAATCCATCATATTTTGAAGCAAGATTGTCTATACTGACCAAATGAGAACAGAGCCTATAAGATACATGAGACTTTTTCCCCTTAAAATTTTTTTAAAGTACTCATCTTTACTCTTAGGATATACCAAGATGACTTTTTGCAAGTATAAAATGATAGATATCCACTTTTTTTTCACTGTTCTGTGAACTGACAAAAGGGTTAAATAAGATGCCATAGTTTTGTTTTTACAGCAAAAGTTAAATAGTTTTCTATGTTCATAGTAAGGACTTGGGGATCCTAGCACATCACACCCCAAAGAAACCTGACTTTCATTTGCTCCATAAGTTGAGACTCCTTTCAAGGGTCCCATGCCTTTTATGTTGATTTGATTCAGAATTCTGTGGACTTTCAAAGGCATCACATAGCTTGCTCAACCTAGCCAGAAAATGTTCCTTTGGGGATATTTCTTTTTTGTTGTTGTTATTGTTGTTGTTGTTGTTGTGTTGTTTGTTTTATAATTCCAAGAAAGGGAATGCTCATTCCAAATTAATGAATTGGTTCATTCCATTATCTCAAACAGAACATGCACATTCAGGGATGGGTTGTCTGGATAGAAAGGGGAAACAAACGATTTTCATAGACCCTTCACAAAATGTAACTATTAGATTCATATACATTTCCAAACAAATGGGCTACATTTTTAGAAGCAATGACAACAAAGATACAGAAGAATGGAATGCTGGGAAAGAGCAGAGGAAAGAAGGAAAGGAGACAGGGGAAGAGGGAAAGGGGAGGATGGAGGACAGGGTGGAAATGTCTGGCTCAGATCAGAATCAGAAGTAAGATTAGCTAGCATCAAGATCAAAAACTCAGGTGATATCAGATGCTGGCGAGGATGTGGAGAAAGAAGAACACTCCTCCATTGCAAGTGGGTTTGCAAGCTGATACAACCACTCTGGAAATCAGTCTGGAGGTTCCTCAGAAAACTGAACATAGTACTACTTGAGGACCCAGCTATACTACTCCTGGGCATATATCCAGAAGATGTTCCAACATATAACAAGGACACATGCTCTACTATGTTCATAGCAGCCGTATTTATAATAGTCAGGAGCTGGAAACAACCCAGATGTCCCTCAACAGACAATGGATACAGAAAATGTGGTGCATTTACACAATGGAATACTACTCAGCTATTAAAAACAATGACTTCAGGAAATTCAAAGGCAAATGGATGGAACTTGAAAATATCATCCTGAGTGAGGTAACTCAGTCAAAAAAGAACACACATGGTATGCACTCACTGATAATTGGATATTAGCCCAAACGCTCGGAATACCCAAGATTCAATTCACAGACCATATGAAGCCCAAGAAGAAGGAAAACCAAAGTGTGGATGCTTCAGTGCTTCTTAGAAGGGGAAACAAAATACTCACAGGAGGAAATATGGAGACAATGTGTGGAGCAGAGACTGAAGGAAAAGCCATCCAGAGATTGCCCCACCTGGGGATCCATCCCATGTGCAGTCACCAAAGGTAGATGCCAGGAAGTGCATGCTGACAGGAGCCTGATATAGCTGTCTCCTGAGAGGCTCTGCCAGAGCCTGACAAATACAGAGGCAGATGCTCACCGCCAACCATTTGACTGAGCAATGAGTCCCCAATGGAGGAGTTGGAGAAGGGACTGAAGGAACTGAGGGGGCTTGCAGCCCCATGAGAAAAGCAATGGTGTCTGTTTGGAGCCAAGACTTCTTTCTTCCTGAGAGCAAATGTCAGTTAAGTAGACAGCCTGAGTTAAGGAAGACCTTATTGGCCTTCCTGCCTGGGAGAGAAAATTAGCAACTTGAGCCTAACAAATGTTTTATTGCTCTCTTGCTCATGAGAAAGTGGTTTGGGCTAAGGAATGCTTGCTAAGAGCTTAACAATTCCCGGATGGCCCTGGACCCTGACCCTCCTCCCTGCTTCTCTTTATAAGGCAGCCCGAACAATAAAGTTCAAGCACTCCAATCAGACATTCAGACCTGTGCTTCTTCTTTGTGTCTCTTGTCCCATCTTTCACTCCCCTCTTCCCTAGGGTCTCGTCGAATCCCCGAGGACAGGGATAGTGTCAACCAGCCAGACACTCTGGAGCTCCCAGGGACTGGACCACCAACCAGAGTGTACACATGGACCCATGGCTCCGGCCGCATATGTGGCAGAGGATGGTCTTGTTGAACATAAGTGGGAGAAGCGCCTCTTGGGCCTGAGGTTCAATGCTCCAGTGTAGGGGAATGCCAGGGTGGGAAGATGAGAGTGGGTAGGTGGGGAAGGGAAGCACCCTCATAGAGGCACGGGGAGGGGGAATGGGATAGGGCGTTTCCAAAGGGGAGACCTGGAAAGGGGAAAACAATTGAAATGTAAATAAAGAAAATATCCAATAAGAGAGAGAGAGGGGGGGGAGGGAGAGATTAGCTAGCATCTTGGGAGTTTGCTGTCTCACAAGCCACAAAAGTGCATTTTAAAACCAGAAGCCAAAAAGGCAGTTTGGAAAATAAAAAAGGGGGGGAGGATCAATGTTCAACATTGGTTGAGGAGACCAGCGAAGCCAAGATGCCATCTAGGTCAGCTTTTTATTACTGTACTGAAAACCTGACAATATCAAATAAAGAAGTAAGTCGATAAAGGTTTGGGCTGACAACTTTAGAGATTTCTGTCCATAATCAACTGGTCCAGATACTTAGAGTCTGTGGTGGTACATTATGGAAAAAAGCAATTTGCTTCTCCTACAATTCCCTTCAAGGACACGTACCGCTAGTAACCTCCCGCTAGGCTATGCATACGAAAGTTCCACCTCACACAGTAACACTGAGCTGGGCACTGTGCCTTCACCTGAGACCTAAGAACTAAAGCATCGCAGATGTCAGCCCGGCCCTCTCTCCAAGCCACCTTCGATACTGAGGAGACTTCCTGCAATGCCTGTCCTTCCTAGAATACTGCTCTCCTCTTGGAGCTCATAGACGCAGATGCAGCTATAATTCAAGCAGCCTGACCACTCCTGACCAGTCAGGCTGTTCCTATTTCAAAAACACAAAAAAAGAAACCCTCTGTAACACCCCGCCCCCTTACCATTTCCTAATTAGCAAAAACTTGGCCTAAAGTGCCTCTATTTGGTCATTCTCTGGGCCTTCCCAGACAGTTAATACTAAATGAAAGCCTCCTAGCCTGGATTTCAAAGAGACAAACAACCTACACAAGGTTGCCTCTTAGACCAAGTAGCTGAATTGTGGTTTGCTCTCATTATAGCTTATTTGTTTATTTAAAAGTAAATTAAAACTGATTTGAACTGGCTCAGGTCATTTGGAAAACTATGTTGTGACCCCAGAGGCTTTTTCTAAATTCTCGGATTTTGTGATCATCTTTTCCTTGAGCAATAACTTTTATTTCCGCGTTTCACATAACCTTGAATTGAGGAGGTCTCGCCAGCAAAACCTGCACAAATAACAGGCTGACAGAAGCCCTTGAAGTTTATTCCAGTCTCTTCACCCAAGACTCAATTTCCCAAACTTTAAATTTGGCCACGGTTCAAAAACAAATGTGCTTTGAACAAAAAACAACATGATACACATCTTTGCCAATAACAATATAAAAGGCAGATCCGTTTGATCATTTTCATTGTCGTAAGCAAAGGCTGACAAGGAGGTAAATTCAACCTTGAACATTTTGGCTCACTATGTCCAGCAAGAAGACATGCTCACATCTGGTTTCACACTGAGGGTGCCTCTGCACAGGGACCATAGGGCCAAGTTTAATACGGGCTTCTGGAGGTCGAACCCCAGCACAGCTTTCTAAGAGTGTGGCCCTCCACTGCTCCAAGTTCTAAACACAGGGTCTCATCACAACAAAACATTGGGAACAAAGCCAAACTATTTTTTACCTGACAAAAAAAGCAAATGCTGTTCCCCATTTCTTAGTTCTATTGACATAAAATAGGAAAGTTCCCATTTCTCTTCCTCTCTTTCCAAAGAGGTGACCAGCTTCCTTCGTGGGAAACACTTCCCTCATTTCTATGCATCCCCTCAACTTACTGTACTGTCTACATAATAAAATCTTTAAAACATTTATTGGAGACATAGTTGAAAAAAAGGTTTCAAGAAAGGAGTTGTGGGGGCTGGACAGGTAATTCAGTAGCTAAGAGCACTTGCTGCTCTTACAGAGGACTCATGTTTGGTTACCTACACCCTTAGGCTGACTTTAACTCCAGTGTCAGGGGATCTGATGCCTTCTTCTGCATCTAAGAGCAACAGATACATGCATGGTATATACATGCAAATAAAATACTCAAACACATAATTTTCTTTCAAAAGGAAAGAGGTTGAGAGATGACATAGGCATAACAGTAAGTCTGCAATTAGTTGAAAGGTAGGTATATTTTGACAGGAATCATGAAAATGGGATTTGAATACCAAATAGGATTTGAATACCAAATATCTTAGTCTTACCTAACTGTAACAGAAGCCAGGTAGGATGATGAAAACAGGCTGTCACCTTAAAGCTCACCAGAAACAAACAAAAATATTTCCCACCAACAAAGCATAAGAACCAAGAGAGGCTATCCAGGGACCCTGCTTTCTTCTTTCCAATTCCTTCCAAGGAGGATATGGGAAATGACTGCAAAATGTGAGGAAGCCATTTTGGGAGAAAACAGGATCATCTCTCACATAGTCAATCTTAGCAGGGGCGTGAGGTGCCTCAATCAGTTAAGTGTAAATATAATCAAAGTAGTTAATCACATTTCTCCCTCTAAAGAGAAAAGATATGAAAACCCTTCCTAGTTCATCCATTATAATGACTCAGGAAGACCTGTACTG